AACGATTCTGTGTTTCGGTTTTAACAACTGTTTTATTGTTCTCAAACAGTCGGGTTTTAAGAACCACTACTAGTACATTCGCATCTGAAAATGTTTAAAAAGAAAAAAAACAACACGCAGTGTATATCAAACATCCGGTGTACTGAACTATAATGAGTATATCCTTCGCAGTGTTGTACTCGGTTTTTATATTACATTGTACCCTGACAAAAACTTGAGTCGAAATATTGATATATTAATTTTTTTTTCTTGCTATTTTTTTCTGAAATTGAAAGCTGCTTCAATTCTCATCGAATATGTGTATGTATTGTACTTCAGATAAGCACGTCGCATGTAAGCCTCGTTGTTTCCGTAGGCAAGGATATTAAATAGAAATTTCAGAATTATAGCAATGATACAACATTCCTATTAATTTTGCGGCAGACTAAAGTACAAAAACCTCACCGAAATTTAATAACTGAATGACCAGCTTGCGAATTATTTTCTGTATCTAACATACAATAAGTAGCAAATTGAATTACAATTAATTTCGTTTTTTCGCCAACGCCCAGAAACTACTCAAATCCTACAAAATAACCTTGCTGCTGGATGAACACCACCGAGAAAATTACAGATGTTTAGATGAACCACCGTTAGGTGTCGCCCACGACTCATAACTATAAACGATCTTAATCTAAAAATGACACCCTGTATTTTAGAAACGCAAACACTTTAAAACTCCGAAGGAAAGCGATTATTTGCCAATAAAACTAACTAGTTAGAGGCATAAAAAATACATTTCTAGACAATTTGGAACATGATATACCCGTGTCACATCTTCCCTGCGGTTCAACCTTCTTAAGGTCGTTCGCCTCAACAGTGTACGTGTAAAATGTGGTTTGTATGATAGAAAGGCCCGAAATTCTCCTTGCTGCGTTAGCTTGCAACCTGAAAATCCACTTGTCGCTTTTGGGTTTCTCATCATGGTTGTTAGATGAAACCTGGCGAAGGAAAACCAATTACTTGAACTGAACTCCTGCAAAAAAAATTACAGTCACATCTTCTTCCCCATCTCTCTGTCCGTTAGCTCTTAGGAGAAATTTTGAGAAGAAAGATTAGGCGACCTAATATAATCCATATATTAGGTCTGCTTTAAACAAATTCGAGGCTCTGTCCAAATTTAAGGATGCAGAACTGAAAATAGCGATTAGAACCTGATAAGGTAAAATTTCAAACGAAAAATGCAATAAAATTAAATACCCTGTCTGGTTAGTACGGTATTAAAATCAGGTCTTTATAAATAATGGTAAATGTAACAATGATTGACAACGTAGAATAAAAAAAAACATTAAAACAAAATTTAAATTCAAAAAAATTCCTTGATCAATCGCCGAGCCAGGTTCCGTTAAACATTTTGCACCTACCTAAAGGCTACTCCTGCCATACATGGTGGTAAATTTCTCGATCAATCGCAGAGCCAGGTTCCGTTAAACATTTTGCACCTACCTAAAGGCTACTCCTGCCATACATGGTGGTAAATTCTCGATCAATCGCAGAGCCAGGTTCCGTTAAACATTTTGCACCTACCTAAAGGCTACTCCTGCCATACATGGTGGTAAATTCCTCGATCAATCGCAGAGCCAGGTTCCGTTAAACATTTTACACCTACCTAAAGGCTACTCCTGCCATACATGGTGGTAGTAAAATAAACAATATCAAAGTAATATGTACGTGGCATTACTGCACTAAATATCATTCCAGCAGCTAAGATGTTCTTCATTCTAACTTCACTTAAATTTCGAAGTGTGATTCCAATTACAGACAGTAATAAAAATGTGTATAACAAATATCAAATTTAATATCTTTAGCGGCTTAGCCTACTAAAAGCCATTCGACTTGTCAGGGTATAGTAATAACACGCGTGATTTAAAGACTGTACAGTTCCGCCATAAGGTTTGTCAGTAGTTTCCATAGCAACTAACAATACGGGTGTTAATATATTGACTTAGACTAGAAATAACATTTTAACATACCCATTAATTATGAAAACATTACTGAAATGTAACAGCTGCAGACTAATTTAAAATGATTCAACAATCCAACAGTAATTAGCGTGTGCACGTGTTTGCTTATATTTACAAACATATATATATATTTCTTCCGGCAGAGGTCACTAAACGCTACATGCCAATGTTACACCGTCACGACAACGTGTCATAATCATGTTACAATGCATTTTTTTACTCTACATTTCCTTTTACTATTAGTTGTTGTGAGTAAATAATACTGTTTCTGCATCAAACGAAACTTTAAATAAAAATACAAGACATTTCAATTTTCAACTGCTGCCAACAAATTTTTTTAAATGAAATTTATACTCTGCACGTCCCTGGAACAGATATTCAAGGTTACACACCATTACCTTTCCACTGATATCTCGAGGGAAGGAAATATATAGGGAAGAAGGGGGAGAAGGGATGCCTCACAGGTCAGTGACATTTTATGCTGATAAAACCTGACGCCTTCCTGGTTGTTGTGACCTCTAAGAGTCCCATACCATAAGCCCAAAAGCCACATTTTTTTTTTTTAACACAATAAATAATTTAGCTAAATTTACTTTCAGAGCTTCATCTGTTACAAAAACGTCGTTCACGGGTTTTCTTCAGACAATCTATACGATAAATGTAAAACAGAACACTAAAATGTTTTAGAACAGCGTTTCTCAACCACAGATCCATCACACACGCCTTGTCGGTCCGTGACATTTCACGTAAACAAACAAAAACTGACAGAATATTCGTCTGCACATCGTAATGATTTTTCATTGTACTTATATTTTAATGGTTCGAAACATCTAAAGGGTGGCAGCGATCCGGCCCTTAATATCGAAAGGGTTGAGAAACACCGTTTTGGAGCATAGAGAGATATGTTATACGAATGAACGTATTTTATATCTAACCGTTTTGCCTTCCAAAAACCTCAACTCGCGTTTTAAATAATTAAAAAATAACAATACTTGATAAATCGGTGCGTTCCCCTGGAGACATTATTTGGGTTAACAAGTACTGTTTTCATTAAGATTTTAATAAACAGCATGTTAAAAACTTTAGCAACTGCACAGAGCATTACAGATTAAAACAAGTCACGTCTAAGCAATAAGAGACAAGACCTTGAATATTTCAGTGTGAGGATATATGGGTCTGAAATACATGAAAAAAAATCACCTAATAAACCTAGAAAAATATTTTTTTTTACATTAACATTTTCAGAATTCTACGTCAGTGTTATGCTTCATCGCCTAGCCCTAGGGGATAAAATTTATATTCGAATCAAAACCTGTAATAAAATAATTATAACCTTAAACAAGGAACAAAAAAAAAAAATTGGCGATTGTCCTTCGTGAATACCGTGCCTGTGAGAAATGGAACTTTAAAATTAAGAAAGTTAATCTCGATATTTGCTTCCTTACTGAATGCAAGCTCTGACACGTCATTCCTAAGTTCCTCCATTTTGAATTATCCAATCGAAATCTACAAAATTCTTCAACTTACAGGACTTGTCAAAAGAAATTGTTTGATCAAGAACTTCGACTGAAACACCGTCAGAAGAGACAACTTACTGAAAAGTTTAACGTCGATACAACCAATCTTCGGAACGCCGTTGTTAAATTAGATTACACCCATCTACTTAACAAGCTAAGTCAACACAACGACAGAAAAATCGCCCGAATTGATCACTCATTTTTCGTTTTTTTTTTCTTTTCGTTGTGTTTTCTTGCTGTAGTTTCTCCCCATGATTACTGTTTAGTGTTTTATTTGTTTAATTATCGTTATATTTAGCAACTGTACTTTGAAATAGATGTATGCCGAAGTGGTTTTCGTTTCGTCAGGTGTACATCAGGGTTCTCCCAAGAAGGAGTAGCGTAAGTACTGGTCTGAGGGCTTTGGTGAAACGGAAATACAGAGGGCCAGTCAAGTTTACTCCCAACGTTTATTAATTCTGTACAAGATACAGGAGGAGTGATGTTAAGCCCAACAGCACTGTGAATGAATGCGAGAGACGGCTAGGGGGAGTAGTCACCACCACCCATCGCCAACCTTTGAGCAAATCTTTATCAACGAAAAGTGGGATTGAACGTTAGTTTGTAATGCCCCCACGGCTGAAAAGGTAAGCTTGTTCAGTGAAGGAATTCGAAACAGCGATCCACAAATTTCGAGTCCAATGCCCTAACCACGAACGAGGCCGCGCCACGTCTACACTGTCGAGAAACGTACATTTTTAGAAATACTCACTTTAAAAATACTAACGATATTCTAGCTCAAGTACATCTGGTAGATTTGAAATACAATTACGCGAGTATTAAATATTTCGAACTACTGACTGTATTACGAAAAAGACAACGGCAATATATACCGGTGGACTCTGTTATAAAAGGGGTGGGTGGGTTCGAGAATGGTTTAAAAACCTTGTTATATATATATATATATATATTTTATTTTTATTTTTCAATGAGTAAGATTCTTTGTTTCTTGTTAAGTGCAAAGCCACACAATGGGCCATCTGTGCTCTGTCCATCGCAGGTATCGAAGCCCAGTTGTTAGCGTTTAAGCCCACAGACTTACTCTTGAGCCACCAGCAGACAAATTAAATAGAATTAAAGAGGTGTTTGCTTTATTTAATCGAAAAAATATTAATAAGACAAATACCCAAAATATTTTAGACAGTTTATTATTTAAATGGTGCATAGTTTCCATGTTGTTGTTTTTTTTTTGTTGTTTGGTTTTATAAAATTTTACATTTCACTGTTTTACTTACATATTCTTTCCCATCGCTCTTCTGAGAAACCAGCCGAAACTTCATTCTCGGACAAGTAGTAGTTGATGTTCATGCATGTAGTTTGGACTGGAGATATGTAGGTCGAAACTGACAAGAAAAAAAAAGACACGTTTAGTGACGCATTCTCCTCGATCTCTTTATAACTTTATTCAAATGTTTATTATTAATTGATGAATACCTGTTTTAGCTAACACGTAATAAATTTTGTCCGTTTCGTTTGGTCCCAGTGCAAAGATTTCTACGCTGTGCTCACCGAAGGAATCGAACCTCGAAGTTTAGATAAACAACAACAACTAATAGTAGAAAAAAAAAATTTTGGTTTGTGTATTTAGAAATTTCTCGTCATTTATTTGATCCAACCGAACACATATAAAGGCTTAATTTCTGTTTTGTTTTTAAATCGACGAAACTTGGGGCGCGAGATACTGACTGTGAATATAAAATCACGTGTACGCTCTCCATAGCCTAGTTGAATGTTAGAGTTGTGGG